GGAGAAAAGGGGCCTTTCTGGGCAGGATGCTTTCTTCTGGGTTCGCCTAGCTCTTCCCAAGGGCCACTGGAGGGAAAACACCTCGATTCTGCCAGGAGTCCTGGTCACATCTCAGTGTCTGGAACTCCTTAAAATAGCCAACTGCCCCCGTCCCTGCGGCACCGACCGCTCCAGGCCACTAGCGGCAGTGCGGCCGCTCAGCTCTGGGGACGCCTTCGTGGGAGAGGACTGCTCCCCGAAAAGCAGACGGAATCAGAGCACGTCCTCTGGGAGACATTCAGTCACAGCAGTTGCGTGAGTTCTGAGTGCCTGTCCTAAAAAAGACCCCGAGGGCAGGTGTCTGTGGGAGGCCGGGGCCGGGGGGCCTTGTGCTGTGTCTCTCTCTGCTTCGCCCCCTGCGCCCCCACCCCAGCCCCCACCCCGGCACTAATGCTTTCAGCACCCTCCCCTCCTTCCCTCTGGGCACTTTGTTCTGTGGGAATAAAATACACGTCTGGTAATTTTCAGTGCAAATTGCTGGTGTGCAGTTTAAACGAGTTTTGCAGGAGTCAGGGAGGGAATAAAAAATGTAGAGAAATACAGAATATGTAATCACACTGCTCTGATTTTATCATTCTGCTCGAAAATTCTGTTCTCACCTTTCTCATTCTCCTCTTCCCTTCTTGGACATTTTCTTTCTCAGCTCCAACCCCTTTGCTAATAGTCTGAATATTTATTATTAACTCAGTTGTGGATATTTGTGCATAAATTAATTGATTGTAACATAATGATTTTAAGACTCATGGTTCTAAGAAACAATCTGAAATAATCCTGCTGTGCTCGTTGGCCATATTAAGTGAGGCTGAAAGGGGATGTTTGGTTAAGTGAAATAAGGCTCGGGTGACATGAAGGGCCTTTCACATGACGGTTCATACCTTCCATGGCAGAACCTAAGTATCCGATGATGGCCATGAGGTTGGACGGCCAGAAAGTGTGCCCGGTATAGGCTATGGGTCAGCTGTTCGCTTTGCCCCACAGCGTCTGTGAGGCACAAGGACAGCGTAGTCAGGGTGTGGCTCTGGGTTCAGACCCAGGCGCTGCAGAGACAGCTGGGCTGCTCCTGGCCTGGGTCTGCAGGGCGGTGCTCGGGCTTGCAGGGGCTTCCGCGGTGCTCACTGGATGCGCGGCATTTGGAAGTAACACAGGGATCCCCCTGCTTCCGCTTTACTTCTGTCTTCTCAAAGAAGAATGTTCTCTAAACGAAAAGGTACAAACCTAACCTATGGGAGGATGTGCGGGAGTGTTTTCCCTTGAGGAGAATTGGATGCCAGGGTGTTGAGAGAATGTACAGATGAGACTGAGAAATCTTTCGGATAATCTCTGAGGAATCATGGCAGGTAACAGAGCCATAAGAGATGGGGAAAACGTCTAACTGTAATTTTCAAAAAGAGAAAGAAGACAGTTTTATACTCTGAAGGTTAGTGAGCTTCTTGTTCTTGGGAAGATCCTGATGAGAATCCTGTGGGATGTTTCTGAGCTCTTAGAAAAGGAACCAGTGGCTATGAGGCCCCAGCACATGGCCACAGCAGACAGGCGGGTCACACTGTTTCCATGTCCCTTTCACGGGCTTATTTGACTGGCAGACTTGTGAATGAGATTGATAGGATGTGTCTGCATCTCGAGAAGGGATCCCGTGTGGTCACTCCAGTACCCAGGTGTGAGGAGGATTTGCAGGGTCTCATTTGCTGTTTTTAGATCACAAACAACAGAAACAAATTCTAGTTGTTTCAAGCAGAAAGGGGATTTTATTCAAGGATACAGACATATACACTCCAGAAGGGCTAGACAGCCAGGCTGGGACATCACAGGTCTGAACATACCCCAGTTCACAGGGCTGGTCCCGTGAGGACATGCCCACGTGCCCACACTGACCAGCACCTCCGGCTGCACGCTGACACCACTGGCCTGGCTTTCCCGGGAGGGCATGCAGCTGGCCCTACCCACTGCAATCCTCAAGGTCCCAACCTCTTTGCACCCCTAGCTCCTGGTCAGTTTGGCATGATGCCTCTGATGGATGGGGCCCAGATCACATGGCCTTCCTTCTGCACAGAAAGCCAGAAAACCGATGAGTGACATTTCCGCCTTCATCCCTGCCTTCTAAAGGACTCCAGGGCAGGTAATTGCTCCAAATAGAAAAGGAGTTCCCTCAATGGCTGCCATAAACAATGGCTAATGTCCCCCTCAAGGGGCTGAGGGATGGGAGAATTGGGTACATTTATAAATGGTTGAAGGATCATAGCTAAAGGCTGCCAATTTAATTAATCCCTTTTAATCAAGAAGAAGGGTTTTATTGGCATTCCCCAGGACTCTGCATTTTTGTGCTATGCCACATTTTTTTTTTTAATCAGTGGCTTTGGCTGAAGATAGAAAATAAGCTTATTTTGTTTGCAGGTGACACAGAGCTTCAGTGGAATGCTAACACATTCAGGGTAAATGGTAGGCTGTTTTGGGCTTTTAAAGACCAACTTACCCAAATGTGTAGCTGCTTCTAAGAATCAGCCTTAGTTTAATGTGCTTGCCGAGAAAGCGAATTAACCCCTAGGCTGTGTGAATTGATGCATGGTATTTAGAGCTGGGCCTAAGTGCTAAATAGACCACAGCTGAGCCCTGCGCTGCACCACGCCCACACGGGATGCAGACCCAGGGCTGGAGGGTGGGTGAGGGGCCTGCTGGGGCGCAGGCAGTCTGAGCCCTGGTCCAGGAAGATGGTGGCAGGAGCTGAAGGAGCATGGCCTGCAAAGAGTGGCCTTGAAGGGAGGAAGATGTGTCCACCAGGTACCCAGAGAGCTTGCATGTGAGTTGTTTATATATTTGGGGCATTAGCCCCTCACCAGTATATGATTTACAAATATTTTATCCTGACAGTAGGTTGCCTTTCCAATGTGTTGATGTCTCCTCTGCAGAAGCTTTTTAGTTTGATATAGTCCCACTTCGTTTATTTTTGCTTAGAACTTTCAACTTTAAGATTCAATTTCCTATAAAAATAGAAGGCATTACAAAGGCAATAGAGCGCTCTAATGGATGTGTGAGCATTTTAAAAGGTTTTTTAATGTAAGAAATGCATAAAGGCGTTCGTGGAAGCCCACAGCTGTGACAGATTGCTTGGAGATAAGGCAGGAAACTGCTCAGGCAGACAGCAGACAGGTGTGGGTGGGGCTCATGAATGGCCCGGGGTGGCCGGTTTGGGGGGGTGCGTGGGCTCCAGGAGGAAGTAAACTGCCTGGAATTCAGTTCCTCCCTGAAGGAAGGATGGAGACGCAGTCGGGAGTCTCCTGTTCACCGGCCGCCCCCACAAAGCCAGCACGCCCCTCCCAGAGGCCAAACAAGGCAGAGAGACCGCGGTCTCGCATTTCTGCCCCGTCAAGCACCGGGGCTACACCAGCGTATAAGGGAACCGAAGGGACTTCCTCATTTTACCTCCGGGGTCTGTAGTGCCCTCCCCGAGTGGCCCGCGACCCACTGCAGTCACGCAGGCCTGGGGGGCGCGGCCGCGGTGCAGAGGGGCCGGACGAGCAAGGTCCCTCCAGAGACAGCCGACGGGACGCCTGGAGCCCCGCACCCCTCACCCCTCACCCGCGTGCCAGGAGGGTGCTCGGAGGCCTAATGAAGGGGGCCTGGTCGCCCTGGTTGACTCCTGGCGGCGGCCCCCGGCCCGACGGGGTGGCGAGGGGGAGTCCTGTCACGTGGGTGCACGAAGAGGGGCGCGGTGGCAGTGTTTCCGTCCCTTTTCCAGTTCCAGGCAGCAGTCACGAGGGCAAAGCAGACACTGCCCGGCTCACCCTGCCGCCTCCCGCGCTGCACGTGTTCCTGGGGGTGCGAGCCCCCCTGCTCGGTGCCCGGAGGCCCGAGGAGGCTCGGACAGGGGCTCCCCGAAGCCCACAGCGCCCCCGCATGTCCGCCTCAGGTCCTGCGGGTCCCGCCAGCGTCGGGCAGGGTCTCAGCCCGCAAGGGGGCCTCCGGGGTGGGGACGCTCTGGGGCGCGACGGCGGGGCGGGGGCTCCGAGTGGGGGCAGCAGCCGCAGACTTACAGGGACGGCCGCGGTGTGCGGAAATGGAGCTCCGTTTCTCCACAACTGCGCTCAGTGTGCCCGTGAGGTAGTGGGAACTCAGCCCCGGCGCTGTGCCCTGGACCCCTTCTGGCTTAAAAGCCGCCTCCGGGCAACTCCGCCGTCGGTTCAGGATTCTCACTCCATCGGGGCTGCTTCCCTTGCACCTCCCCCCATGGATGAGCCCCGGGTCTGGCGTCCCGCACTGTCTGTTCCCTGGCAAACGCTAGCCTCCCAGGAGACCGACCGATCAGTGTGCACGTGGGCCGGCCTCGGCCCCCGCGCCCTGCCCACCGACCCGCTGTGTCCTCCCCACCTGCCCCAGGCAGCACGAGGTGGCCGGCCTGCTCCTGCCGTTGCCTCCGCCGCAAGGAGCTTTGGGCTCTTGTCCGGATATCCCCGCCCGAGGCGGGCTGGTCGTTTGGGGCCCTCTAAGAGCCAGGCCCTCCCTCCCGTGCTCCTGCCTGTCCGGGCCCCGTGCCCACCCCCGTCCTGGGCCGGGGAGCATTTTTGTTGCTCTTCTATGGTGGGGAAATGACCTTGTGCCACGCCTGTGCCCCTTGGAGGCGACCCCTCCGCTCGGGTTCTCTAAGCCTTTACCGTCATCTCCCAGCAAAGCCCGTGGGATGCAAAGCGCGACCGCCCCTCGCACCTGCCTGACCACCTTCCGATGCTTGAATCCTAACCCCGCCGAGTAACCATGCCACCGGGCCGGTGGGCGAGAGCTGGCAACTCCGGGACGGAAGGAACCTCAACTGAAAATGTTAAGATGTTATTTTACTGTTTGGTAGCCCATATGCCTCCACGGCCACAAGTGACGGTCCAAACGTGAGTAAAAGTCAAGGAGGCTCTGACCCGCTGTCCCCAGTCCCGGTGGCTTGTGGCGCTGCAGGGGCCCCCGCAGAGCCCAGAGCGACACGCCACGCTTGCCAGGATGTCTCTGAAAAGCCTTCCACGGAGAAAGCTCCCCGGCCACCCCGCCCCACCGAAGGCCACGGCGCCCGACCCTGTGCCCGCCCGTGCAGGGCGGATCCACGTCCCCGTGTCTGTCAGGCAGCTTATCGCCAGGAGCCCGTGTGCGCTCGAGGGAAGCTGGCTCTGTTCAAGTCCGCTTCAGACCAGTTTCTCGTGGCCTCTGATGTGTCGTCTACCAACTGCTATTGGCAAAACGCGTACGCGCAAGGCCGACTCTGTGACCGCTGGGACGGCTGTCGCCTCCAGGCATCATCTCCACCGCTGCCTCGGCCCCGGCGTCCCGTGTCCCGGCTCTGGCGCGTCCACGGGGCTGATGACCTCCCAGTGTGCGACCCTGCTGGGCGGCAGAAGGCGGCCAAGGCGGGGTAGCCCTAGGGGTGAGGGCAGCGTGTGTGCCACACACGGCCGCAGGGGCGGTGGGTGCAGCGGGGAGGCAGACACAGAGGTGGGGGTATCCGCTGAGGAGCACGGTGGGCAGCTTCTAACTCAGGGACCATTCAGGGTGAACGCGTCCTGCATTTTATCCAGCGCTTTTCTGCACACTGGGGGGGGGGGGGGGGCTGAGGCGGACCCCGGTTTTATGGACCCTGAAGTTTCCACAATCTGTGGGCCTCTTTTAGAGATAGAAAATCAGTTATGACATAATGAGAAAGGAAATCACAAACAGTTGCGTGTCTTAAAAAGCTCACAAGTAATACAAAAACCACAAACGCCAGAAAATCATGTGCTATTTGTATCAATTAATCGCCCGCTCTACTCCCTGTATCCCTTGGCCGGATATTCTTCGGTCACCTTTTTAAAGAAAACAGATTTACAGTTCATTTTCTTTGGGTTGAACAGAATCATTGAATCTTTCCGCAGGCATGCTTGATGGAAATGTATTTATCTATAGTTTGAAAGGATCGTTTCTGGTAATGACATTTGAAATTCCAGGGTTGTCGTTAAATTTGGGTTAAACTCTATCAACTTCCTTCATATATAAGCTAGAGAATCGGGAAGAATTTTACCCAGACTGACTCCATGTATTTCCAAAAGTTTTAGGTCCATGACTCACAAGCCTTGGGTGCCAGAGGCCGCCGCACACGTATGTGCCACGGCCCCTGCCCTGTACGCCCGTCATGATGCTCGGTGAGTTGGCACAATGGGTAGAGGGTTCCCTGGACGGTTCCCACATCAGGATGACGGGCTGTAATGTTCACTGGGTGCATTCCACTAACTCCAATAAAATGTGTCCCAACTCAGCTTTCCTGTAGCAGGATCCCCAGTGCCCATGGTCGCGTCTGTGCCCTCCACCGCCGGGGCTCTTACCTGTCTCAAGTTAAAATATCATGTTTGGATGTTTTATTGCAAGGCAAGTGCCTCATCATTAGGGGCTTTTCCAGGGCCTTGGAAGGAGGCCATGCAGACGAGGAGGCGAAGCTTCAGCTTCCTCTGTTTCACAGTGTGTCCAATGCAACGGGGCAGCAGAAGGTGGATGGTGAGCAAGGACGGAAACCGTTTCTGTCTGGCCTCGGAGGGTCCAGCATGAAGGACGCAGCTCAGTGGCTCGCTGGCTGTGCCGTTTGGAGGAGAGGTGGGGCGGGAACAGGTAAAACCTGAGTGGCCGTCCCCAGAGAGGCGGGGGAGCGTGTGGGCCTGGCCTCAGCTTTGCCCCAGTGCCCTCGAGCCCCTGCCTGGCTCAGCCCTGGCAGGATTGCTGCAGGGGGTTTAAGCAGGCCTCTCTTTCTGTGACCTTCTGGACGTTCACGTGCTGTGGCTGCTCCCAGCACTGTTCTCTCTCTGTCTCCGTGTTCTGCCAGGACTGGCTGGCCAGACCTGGTGTTCAGTGATGCTTCGTGAACAGAGGGCCCGTCCTCGTTGCCCGGGGTTTGGTGGGGAGCACGTTGACTGAGAGGCTTCAGGGGCAGTGTTCACCTGAGGGATCACAGTGGTCCCTTAGGGTGCATTTTACCTGCCTGGAAACTTACTGCATTTCACAGTTGCTGCCGAGGAAGGACGAGGCCCTGGGAGATCGGGGTTCAGCAGGGAGCATCTTAGGTGACAGAGCCGTTCCTCTGAGGCACCCTTAGGGCCCGCTAAGGGACAGAGGCCTGCACAGACTGGCTGCGGGGCTGCCCTTCTCCATCTGATTAAAAGGGAGAAGAGAAAGCCACACAGCCTGGGGACCTCTTGCTTGAAAAACACCTCTGTTCAACCCCGTAAGCCAGAAGAATGACCAAAAGCCATGTGGGGTGGCGACGCGTGGCCCCGGTGCCGCCCGGCCTGGCCCTGCCCTGTCCTCTGGGGCCATCAGGACTGTCCCTTAGGCACCCTCCCCTTCACTGCTGTCACAATTTGAGGGTGATGCTCGCATAATTATCTTTTCTTCCCCTCTCCCTGTTTTCTCTTCCCTCTGAATCGCTGCTCTACCACTAGTCGTGTAGTTTCAGAGCTGGGAGC